AAAACAAATAAAATTGACAATAGCTGAGAAGGCTCATATTATACATAGACTAACAAAATTTTCCTTAATTGAATATTGGATTTTAAACCTCTCACATTGATTAACAAGTGGCAAGTGGTTTGTTCCAGCTTAAGTAAAGTCTCAAGTTCGAAACTTTGTGTACGCAGCAGCCTTCGTTGGGAGACCCGCCCACCATTCTGGTGCGCCACAGCTGGTCGAGTCCGGAGTAGTCGAGGCGAAGCCCCGAATACCGGGCGGGAAACCAAAAAAAAAACAAATGGCAAAAAATAATAATGATAATAATAATAATTAATACTCACTTTGATGAATCCCTATGGACTCATAGCAATCCCAAACGCAGAGCACGCTACAAAGAAGATGATGCATCCGTTTGTTGCTGAAAGCGTGGAGAAGCTATGGGATACATGGAATATCAGAGGACTGATTATTCTAAGCCTCTTGGTTCAGTCCTTTCTAATTCTTTGTGCACCGTTAAGGAGACAAAGAAGGAATACATGGCTCGGGATTTCGATTTGGTTGGCATACTTGCTTGCAGACTGGGTTGCTACATTTACTATTGGACTCATGTTGTCCGCCGAAGTAAGTGACATCCTAGCCTTTTGGGCACCCTTTCTTTTGTTGCATCTTGGTGGCCCGGACACCATTACGTCCTTCTCTCTAGAGGATAATGAGTTTTGGATCAGACACTTGCTTGGGCTTATGTTACAAGTTGGTTCAACCGTCTACCTTGTCCTTCAATCACTCCCAGATAACAAGCTTTGGCTCCCAACTCTCCTAGTGTTAATTGCAGGAATAATCAAATATGCAGAACGGAACCGTGCTTTTTATCTTGCAAGCTTTGACCATTTCAAAGTTAAGCAAAACAACCCCAAGAACGGTTTGAACCGGATGTGGGTGCCATGGGCATTGTCAAGAATCTACTTGTAGGGCCCCCTCTACCTCCAATAAGACGCAATTTCAACAGAGATGTATTTCTGAAGAAAGAACCCAAAGAAGTCCTTCTGACATTAGAGGTTGAGCTAAGCCTCTTGTATGAAGCCCTTCACACCAAATTGCCTGTGGTTTGTTGTAAGATTGGATGCGTTTTCCGGATCATTAGTTTGGGTTGCATTTTTGGAGCCTTGCTGTCATTCGGATTAATTACCAAGCACTACCAGTTGGGAAAGTTTGAAATCTGGCTAACCTATGGTTTGTTGATTGGGGCCATAATATTGGATTTCATATCAATCGGATTTCTTATTTTTTCCGATTTCAATCTAGCTTTTGGAAAGACTCCGGCGTCCAAAATTGTGGCCTGGATTAACAAGAGGCGTAGATGGTCCGAAAGAATCCCCCAGTTCAACTTTATATCATATTCCGTTTATTTATGTAAAACTCCACATTGGTTGGACAAATTGGCTGATTATGTTCCCATAGGGATAGTTTTGGACGCCATTATATCAATCAGATGCTTTTCGTTACGAGATTTCAAAGAAGACAAAGTGTGGTTCTTCATTCTTGAAGAAGTGAAAAAAAAGGCTGAATCCGCAAAGACGGTGGAACAGGGCATCCAAATTTCTTTAAAAAGAGGTGATGGAATTCTTGACAGCCATGGAGAATATAGGGATCTCATCTGGAGCGTCAGGAAATTAGACTACATGGAAAGCCTTTTAACCTGGCACATAGCCACTGAAGTATGCTTCCAATTCAAAGAATGCGCTGACGACCGACCTATGTCATCTGAGAATATGGATTGCAGAGAGATATCCAAGTTGATTTCGGATTATATGTTTTGCGTTCTAATGGGGCCCGCTATAACAACCAACGTGCCTAATTTTATTCAACAGGAAGAGTTAGTTGAGAAAGCATTTGATGATCTAGATTCTTTCTCCATGGACTTTCTTCCATTTTTGAATGGAAACAGAATCACCGGGCAATCTTTTCAAAAGAGCGAGAGCCTGGTTGGTTGAAGCCTCCTGTCAGTGGAGAAAAGGTATCTGCTTTTGTTTTTGCACGGATCCTTGCCTTCCAGCTGAAGGAATTGAGGTTTCCTTGGAAGATAATGAGCCAAGTTTGGGTGGAAATAATGTGCTATGCTGCTATTAATTGCAGGCCAAATGTGCATGCACAGCAACCCGGTAGAGGTGGACAACTCCTCACTTTCGTTTGGTTGTTGATGAATTATTTGGGTCTCGGAAGTCAGTTTGAAACTGAGCCTGATGATATTGGAGATTGGAATGAGTCAACTATTCCGAATGATATTGGACATGGGCATGAGCCAACTAATCCGAATGAACTTTTACTTCTGCTGCTGTGTCAGCGTCGGTCCGTGGAAGACCCTGAATTTTAATATGAGAGAGGCCAGATTTCAAATTTGTAGACACTCAGAAGTATGTATCTTTTAATTTGGCATTTCATTGTATCGTATATCATTATTCAGTTGTTTTATGCATTGGAGCTTTGCTTTTATGTGTGATTGAAGTTCAAAGGAATTGGATATGGATTTCTCTTTCTTTTGGTTTCATTCTAGGCAGAAGTGAATAACAAAATCAGACACCTTGAATCTCTTATCTTAGGAGTTCGCATAGTCCTCTAAGTTCTGTCCTCCTGTTTATCTGTATTCTGTTGTCCGCTCTTAATTCTCACATAAGCCCTTAATTAGGGGTCAAAATTATATATCAAAACTCTTGCTACACCACCAAATATATTATTCTTCATTATTATTCTTAATAAGATTACATCTGTAATGTATGTTAACAAAAACCTATACATCAAATTGCAAACTAAAACTTTAAAACAGAAAAATGATGAATAATGGATGATTGATAAATACAAAATTTACTTATAATATTATGTACATTGAAGCATGCAAAATAAATGCTTAGAAATAGAAAGCACACTACAAAATAAAGATGTAATGTCATCACGTTCACCTCTTCCTCTTTATGTTGGATTGAGATCCTTTGAAATTTGGCGTTGCCATCTGAAACAGCAACAACAGCTAGTTTCAATACAAGGACAATTCAAAGGAAGGACTAGAGGACTCCACTAACTGTAAAAAATTTCAAAGAAGAATCCATTGCTGGAAGGGAACTATCATTTAACCCAACTGGAAAGTAGAAATCTCGCAAGCGGGCTAATGTTGGAGTTTGTATGAAGTTCCTTCTGTTATTGTCTTTTCCTATTTTCAGCTTTTGTAGTCATGTTTTGTGTTGCTTCAGATGCTGTCTTGCCCTTAATGAACATGCCAGTTGCCATCTCTTGCATTTCATTGACTTGAGATGAAAAAAGAAGGTGAATGCATTCTTTCTCTTTTTGGCCACTGAAACATTTCTAACCTTGTCAATCTCTTAAGCAACTTGGGGACAAGAGCTTCACAAGATCCAGGGTTTTTACGCTCATTATTCACAATCGATTTTGTAACTGCACTCATAACTAACCCTTTCATAAAATCAGCAAGGGCCTACAGTGATAACATGATATACTGAAACCATTAAGAGTTACAATATACAAAGAGTAATCCATGCCTAGGGGTTATTAGCAGATGAGGTCAAAAATAAAATGAATGGAAGCAGTGTTCATCTAAACCGAGTCTTGATCTGAACTAAGTGACAACATGAACACTTTTGCATAGTTCCACTTCACGTTAAGCACAGGCTATAACTTCAACTACAACAATGTTTGCAATTCACCTCTAAGGAGATGGCTCAACTGGTTAAAAACCTGAGATTTTAACCCAGAAATCTCAAGTTTGAACCTTAACTCGGATGGAAAGGGATTTGGAAAAAGTGGGAGGGCTATATCCCTCTTATATAGCCCATCATTACATACACTTAAAAAAAGCAACGTTTGCAATTCTTATTTCTGACCTCCCCTCACTTTTTGCTACTTTAGCATGTCACTCTTCTCTCAATACAAGCCTAGATCTACATTAGAGATGTTGAAACCCTTTCAGATAATCCTGCCTCCTATGTACTCCAATCATTACATTGATCAGTCTTTCTCTTACAATAAAAATACACTAGTCTGGATGAATAGGAATAGAGGCCAATGTTGAGGTCTATGCATTGAAAATACCATAGATTTGTCTATCAGTAGAAGCAGATTCATTCATTTGCCCAGAAACAAAAACAAATGATGCTTTTAGGGCAATAATATGGCAAAATCATCTCTATACTAAATAGCATGGTGAAACTAAAAATATAACACCGTTTTGTGCAGTGCAAACCTCTTTTAACGAAGGAATAAGCAACACTGACAATGGTGCAGATGATGGTGCTATCTGTTGGGTTTTTTAAAGCAAAGAAAGAAAAAAAGGAGAGAACCGAGAGGAAGAAGATGAAGAGCAGAGCACATAAAATGGAGAGGAGTATATCACTCCAACTCAAAGATATCATTGATATTTTACTACATTTATAGCAGAAACAATACAATAAAAAAGCAATTTTTTTTCTCACCTAACATTTTATCCAATACAAGAAAATATTAAGCATTTAAAACAAAAGATTACATTCAAAGATTTACTGCCATTTCTTGTAGCG